TTGCAAATGCAGACAAAAAACATTATTTTTATGTATATTGTTATTATTATTACCTTCACAAATTGCTTGAATTCAGTATCCGCGCGAAAAACCCGGATGATGCTGCGGAATCGAATCGTTTCCTACATATGCTATGTTAATGGAGTTGTTGGATATTTCACGAACGGTCTTTTGTTTTATTTGATTTTCTTCTACACAAGGAAGGAATTAGGTATATCCTGTTAATGCAAAAAAATCATATTTCCGTCGTCTAGGAGCCTATAAAAAATCTACTCCTGACTTTTTGCGGTTTTTAACGTACTCTTCCAGACTACGATAATTTTGTCAATGCCGGTAAACACATTGAAAGCTTTCAAAACATAATTCCGAATTTAGCACTTGGTACTCTATAAATATGCATTTGTATTTTTCCCCGAGGGACCATTGATGAGGTGGCCCTATTTCGCCAAAATTGGCCAGGCTTGTTGGGCTGCTATGTACGCGGTAAGCTTTGAATATTTTGGGCCTAAAATCCAGAATTTTAAGGCAATCCTGGCGCTCCTAATGCTGTTGTTTGTCTACAGATACCTTGCGTTATTTAGGTAAACGTTTGCAGTTATCAATTTAGCGAATTTGAGCCCGAAACACCTTAAAAACTTTACCAAAAATGGTGGCCTCTACCCGGCGCTATTTATCCTTGTAAATTCCATTATTTGGGGTCTTCATTTCTATTATTCTGAGCTGGTTATTGACCGGTAATGACATGCATAGTTCATTTAATGAATTTAATCCATTTTAGGAATTATTTGCGTGATTATTTTGCTAAAGAATATGAATTGAGCATGGAGAATCTGCCATTGGCTGGTTTGATGTTTGTGGTATCTTTTAATACTTATATAAATAATTTATCTTAATTTTTTAATATTTTCTTTACACTAGAATATCATATTTAACCTTATTCCAAGACGGAAAATTTTAGAAAAACAACCCCGAGGCCATGAAGTCTACTACTGGCCCCAGTTAATCGAAGGAGCCGTAACCCTGGCCTTGCTAGTCGGCACAATGGCTACGATTGGTTATTGTATCTATCAGTAAATATAAAAATAATGCTTTATAATCACGTTTTAGGATCTATCAAAAGTTGGGCACAGCGGTGCTGAGTATTCGGACGGCCCGGCTCCAAAAAGAGCTATTTCGGGCGCTAATCGTCCAGGTGTGAAAAACAATTTGGTCACGCTTGTTGGGACGAAAGGTCTAAATAATTGCAAGGCCAAAAACAGAAGATCAAGTTAATCTCGTTCTTATTGCCAAAAAACTTACGTTAAAGTCGTTAAAGTGAAAATCGATACCTTAAAGGGATCAGGAAGGCCAAGGAAAAATTTGCTTAAAACGGGCTTCGCTTCTATAATTAGCATAAATCTTATCTGCGCCCTCCTGATTCGCCCCGCTCTCTGCCCATTTTTTTCATTGGCGTTTCCGGTTGACCGCCTGCCAATTATAAGCCCTGATCTACTGGGTCTTCACGAGTCCCCTTTAAAGTCAGTAAACGGAAACGTGAACGTAGATCTCTCAATTCTCGAAAACAGTCGGGCACCTTTGTAGGCCTCAATCCCGCTTTTATTTGAGTACGTTTCCTGCGCGTCGACTTACCTGTTTGCCTTCTTCGCCTTTGACCTGATCAGCCCGTTGATGAACTACAGTATGGATCGGATTCTTATTGGTATTTATATTGTTTTAGCCATGATTTTCGCATCCCTTTATCCGGTAGTCGATCCGCTCTGTGTTATCTATTTCATTAAAGACTACCGCCGGGTGGTGGCTGGAAAATTATTGTAAGCACTCACCTGATTATATGTATGCTCGTTTAGACGACGAGGCGGCGCATCTATACATTATCTGGACTCGAGTAAAAGCGGGCATAACACAAGTATGTTTGAGAATTTGATAATTTTTTGGGTTGTTAGGCAATGCCCCAACATCTCGACCTTCACGTGCTACACAACCGGTAGAACATGCCAATTGAATTTTATGATCTTGTGCCGATAAATACCTTGAAAATTGCATTGAAACAGAACAGACTATGTCCTTTCATTTGTCTACAAACTGAGGAACATTTTCTTTTTTTTGACAAAATCGTCATTCGGAAAATCCGGAACAATCAGCGATCCAACAACAAATTTTTCACGCAGATAACTAAAGCTAACAAGGAGTCGCTTTCGGTGCTTTTGGAGTTTAGGACGGGACCTAGCTAATTCGATAGAGAAAAAAGTTCCTGAGCAACATCCCGTTTTCAAAAAGTGCTGATCGATAAAGGTGTTTTAGAATGCCCATGCCCAATCCTCATGTGGCGGGGGCGTTCGACCGCCGCAAATCACCTCAAGGGTCCGGATACCGGGAACATTTTTAATTAAATTAAATTTTCTAAAACAGCTTTATCGATCAGCACTTTTTGAAAACGGGATGTTGCTCAGAATTTTTTTCTCTATCGAACTAGCTAGGTCCCGTCTCGAAACTCCAAAAGCACCTGAAAGCGACTCCTTGTAAGCGAAAAACCGGAAGCGGCGGAAATTTGCAAAAAATTTCCGGCTTTGCCTACGGTAACCTGGCACCGACAAGGAAATTGCCAGTTCCCTAGTGCTGCATTCTATAAATTACTTTGCCTCATACATTTTTGCACAGGGCTAACTTTTTTATTTTACATTATTGTAGGCTCAAATTAAAACTCTTAGTATATTTTTCGACGCTCTATCGAATGGCGTTGCAAAAATCCCGACAAAATAAGCGGAAATACCGACAACTTTGAGACCCTTCGGCTGTGGGGGGGGGGGGTAAAGTAAACTCTTACCTTGCACAGGATCCTGAATTACCAAGCATTTTCCGGGGTGATTGTTGTGGTTTTCGAAGGGATACGGTACGCCCAGTAGAACAGGGTTTACAGTAGTAATTAATTGGCAACCAGCCAACCGGAAATGCTAATGCAAAAAAATGGGCAGTGAGGGGGCGAGGCAGGAGGGAGCAGAGAAGATGTATGCTAATTTTAGATCGAAAGCCCGTACGATGCTAATTTTTCCGGGCCTTTCTTATCCCTTTAACAACGCTATTCGGCCACGCTTCCCGAAAAAGCCAAATCAGTCCCACGTACGGCTACGTCCTGCAGTCCTACAGTCCTACGTACGGCATTGAACCCCAGCCGGCAGGTGCTATGTCGCTCTCGATTCGGCGCCCATATTTCTATCGTTACCCTTTATACTTACACCTCCCCCACAACGCCCAAGCGTAGTCAAATGATAAGTTGCGCCCCCCGGAAATGTAGCTCCATGAGACTTTCCGACCACAGCTCCAAAGCAATACCTGTACCGGTGACACGTGTCCGACCTAGGTGGTGCGAAAATCCGAGCTCCGCATTCAACAGCTTCGAAAAACCTTTGATTCGTCCGTTCCTAGTTTCATTAAATTTTCCTAAAAAGTCATTTCCCACAATTCTGCTTAAAATCAGGATGAGCTGAAGATTCTGTCTAGGATACCTGTGTTCCAAAAGTCGGAAAACGGATTTTAAGGTATGTGTAAAACCTAAGACACCATTAAAGGGATCAGGAGGGTCCAGAAACGTTGGCATGAAACATGGTTTAGTTCCAAAATTAGCATAAATCTTCGCTGCTCCCTCCTGCCTCACATTACTCTCTGCTTATTTTGTTGCATTAGCATGTCCGGTTGCCAATTGTAGACGAGTTTTGATCTACTAGACCTTCCTGATGCCTTTAAAAAGTAGGGTTGGCATTTGAGGAAACCGGTTTCCGATCTCTTGGATTTGAATCAATGTTTGGATTGACCGGATTGTATTGAAATCGATTTTTTCATTGCATCCGATCGATCGATTCTGCATAAAAACCGATTTGAATAGGATCCGATTTGATCGGTTCTCGAAAAACCGGTTTTTGGTTCGAAACCGATCGATCGGTTTCGGAAAAAAAATCGGATTCCAGGCGAGAAACCGAGCGGAAATGAACCGATTTATGCAGAATTTTGGATGCAAATCATTTTTTTGGTGCTTGGCAGGTAGTGGTCCTACGATTTTTTTGAAATTAAGCCGTTCTTAGCCTCCAAAAAATGGATATATTCCTTCCAGACATGATGGCTCTGGAAGTTACGAGCTGACCGCCAATTTCAGCACAAAAAATGAGGAATATCGTGATTTGCATCCAAAATTCTGCATAAATCGGTTCATTTCCGCTCGGTTTCTCGCCTGGGATCCGATTTTTTTCCGAAACCGATCGACCGGTTTCGAATCAAAAACCGGTTTTTCGAGAACCGATCAAATCGGATCCCATTCACATCGGTTTTTATGCAGAATCGATCGATCGGATGCAATTGAAAAATCGATTTCAATACAATCCGGTCAATCCAAACATTGATTCAAATCCAAGAGATCGGAAACCGGTTTCCTCAAATGCCAACCCTATTAAAAAGTGAAAAAGGGATTTTAGGACCAAATGAAGTTAGAAAATGGTTCCCTTTGATGTAAGATTTAGAAAAGCTTGCCCTCCACGGAAATGCTGCGATATTTACATGGTGAAACCCACAATTTAGGATATTTTTGGCACGGACTAGTTATTAGCGTGTAACCATTGTGCCGTACCAAAATAAAGCCCAGCCATGGACAGGGCCTGAATTACAAATTTTCAAAATTACGATCGCTATTTATCAGATTTTCAGCTTTAATTTCACTTTTGAGAATCGCCAGGAAAATGAAAAACCAAGCTTCTCAAAAATACACCCCAACTGCTTAATTTGCTATTTTGCGCCCAGAGTCGATTAATACAAATCTGCACGCATCCGATTTTCCGATGCCCCCATGGGGACGTGCGTTGCGAATTTGCCCCTTTTAGGGATTTGATTTTCAATTTGTGTTGGCCCACCTCAAAAAAAAGCCGACATTTTTCGGTCGACAGGTGTCTTTTTGATTGACCGGGGCGCGGACTTTCCGCCTTCAACCTCACTTTACGATGCTGGTTTTTTTAGAGATGAGCCTCACCAATCGTATCGTTGACTATATCTGCTATGCTCATGGGCTTTGCGCGTATTTCACAAACTCGATGCTCCTCTACCTGATACTGAATTATTCAAGGCCGGAGCTGGGTGGGTTTTGAGGCTATGGCAATAACTCTGGGTATATCTTAGGCACCTACAAATACCTCATGCTCTCATTCACTTGCTGTAATATCATTTTCCCGACAGTGCATATGCTCGCAATGCCGGTGAGTGATACAGGATTAATAAAAAAAGACCTCGATTTAGCATTTAATGTTGAACAAACGGGCGTTTGTCTTCTTCCCGGAAGGGGTGTTAATGAAATGGCCGGTAGCTGCACATTGGGGTATCGTTGCTTGGGGTTTTATGTTTGGGGTAAGTGGAATAACGCTATTACGGCCTATGAACCTCACAAAAATTGAAAACATTTGGAAAATTACGCTTTTTTTCAGGTGGTCCTTGCCGTCGTCATGCTCCATTTTGTCTACCGCTACCTAGCTGTCATCAGGTAGGAAACCTTTTTCAACAATTCCCGTTCAGCGAATTCAAAAATCCTTCCAGACCGACACTACTACGATATTTCACCCGCGAAGGAGTCGCATATCTCGTTCTTTTTGTCGCATGCAATGGACTCGTTTGGGGCAGCTCCTTCCACTGTTCCAGCTATCACATTAACAATCATAGGTGAGTGGGTTAGTTTTATTAGTCTGAACTCATTGAACTCGTATGCCACGCTGAGCTACGCAAATTAGCGAGATTATGGAGCGCGTGGGTGAAGACGTGCCCCGGGTTTCACACGAACTAATTAGCCAAGTGCCGCGATTCAACAGTGTTGGCAGAATGCGTGAGGGTAAATTGCTTTGCAAAAAAATGGGTTCTGCAAGATTTAGACTTATACCAGGGTTGAAAAGCCGCTTCGCGACTTTTCAACCCTGGCCCCGTCTCATCCGATGAGAGTTCGCAATTTGCATAATTATCCGGAGCCGCGATTCGCAAAAATAAAAAATGAGCCTTCGGCCCCTTTTATAGACTTTTCTCGCTTCCGGCGTATGCTAATTGATCCCTAACAAACCGGGGGACCGAAATTTTTACAAAAACTTAATTTTAATGTCGAAAATAGCACTTTTTCGACAATTTGACATGTGTGCAGGCGTCTCGAGACGATTACACATCTAATGACGTATCAAACATACTCTAAAACTTTTTCTCTATCGAGATACGACTGGAACATACTGACGGAAGTTGCATGCAAAGTTACACACATACACATACACTATTTTTTTTATATATAGTAGGATAAAGGGTTATACAATCGATTGAAAACGACAAAGAAAAATCACCCAATGTCTTTTCAGGGACTACTTCCGAGATCACGTCGAAAAAGATTACGAAATGTCGGTTGATAATCTACCGATGCTTGGCCTTATGTTTATCGTGAGTGCATCGTAAAATATTGATTTTATAATAAATAGACTTACGATGCTAACGGCAATGAGGTCTGGTTCTGGCCGGAAATCTTTTCCGGAATCGCGTGCATGACGTTATTTTGTGGAACGCTGGCAACCATATCTTTTTGTACATTTGAGTAAGTCACATTCCATTCTTCCAAACACATCTTTTAGAATCTATTTCAAATTAACCACCTGCAACTTGAGCCAAAAGACAAAGAAGCTACACCGCGAGCTGTTCAAGGCCCTAATCTTTCAGGTAATTTCCAAGCCCATTTAAGGCACCTCGCCTAGGCGTCTATACCTTTAATGATGGAGTACATCCCGTGCGGGATGACACACGTGCTGGCTATTGCTGGATTTGAGTTGTTTGGAACGCTATTCAGCTATTGTGAGTGTTTTGTTGATGCCTTGCAGCCTCAGCAGCAGCATTTTCACACCGAAATTAAGCGAGTATACAGAAAATCGTGTTTTCACACGTTGCATATAGTAATCGAAATGGTTTGATGGCTCGCTGTATACAAAAAAACTAATGTTGTTTGAAGGGGCTCCGAAATCTGGTCCCCCGCGTTTATTGCTGGCAAATAGCCAAATCCAACCGCAACGCGACCGCCCGAATGATCTTTTGCCCCTATTTGGACGTGAAAACGCTTGAATTTAAACATTCCTACGCTATTTCTGGATTACACATTTTATACTTTTTGACTATTAAAACTAATTAGAGAATCACCGAGATCGGGGGGATTAAGTGCCTTATAAGGCATTACGACATGTAATCGCCGCGCACCCAAAAAGGCGTTTGCTCCCCGACCACGTTTCTATTTTACTCAAAATACTTCACGGTTTTGCGCAACGAAAACACTTTACTGGTAATTCTCGGCAGTAGCCTGATGGTTTTTTTTGTCGTGCAATCCCCGCACACGTGAACCTCGACTTCCAAGCCCCCTATAAAGGGCACGTTCAGTGACGTATTTGGGCATGAAAGCAAAGATTTTTGCCGCGGCCGGGGGTCGAACACGGGCCTCCCGATCGGTCGCGCGGTCCCTACGTCCATAGGGTGTAGACGTTGGGACGAGTACACGGCCCCTCCCTGAACGTGCGCTTTAAGGTATGATCTTCGTGTCCCTGTACCCGGTCGTGGACCCAATCTGCGTTACCTACTTCATCAAGGACTATCGATACGCGGTGCTTGGGAGAGTTTTGTGAGTTTTGGCATTGACTAATCTATATTTTTGATTGGCAGCAAAATACAACGAGTCACCAGCATCTCCCACACGGCCAGCGTCACACCCAGCGTTCTCGCACGCAGTTCATTTTCCGTGGCGGCGCCGTCCGGCTCTTCCGCAGCGCTACCTCCGATTCGTGGTGTACCAGGGCGAAAACCGGCTCGATAAATACAGCGGCATTCAATTGACACTTTTGCATTAACTTGGAAACCACACGCCGTTTAATAATATGTATAAAGAAATTTTATTCGACTTTGATATTTGGAGTTGAAATAGGGAGAAATTTATAAACTAGGACAAAACCCAAACCGTACTCAAGAAATTCCGATCAGGGAAGGGCACGACGGCAACACGTCAGTAACGTAGAGCGAGCAAAGCGGATGCAGAAAGGTATCCGCGCAAAATACCGGCGGCGCCCGGTCCCACCCATGGAAGGCTATCTCGCCATCCGCTACTCCTTGATACACTATACGTGGTGGATCGAAGGACGTCTCCTCTGAGCGCACCGTCCAATTTGCGCCGCAAACATTCGCTTCAGCTGCGACATATCCCAGAAGTTTTGAATAGTTAGATGGTGGGGTTGCATCAAAAACGTCGGCGGCGGCTGCCACAGTCAGGAACAGACCTGAATAGGCGTGAAATTTGCGTATTCCTAACGACCAAATACCATCGCTAGACACATAGAGCTTCATAAGCCCCTCGCAATCCACAGGCCTTGCCATGTATGACCAAGTATAACTAAAGGGTTCTTTTTGCAAGTTGGGCTTTATTAAAGCGATAGCGCAAGCAGAAATTGCCGTATGATGTGAATTCCGGAGCTTTTCCCAGATTTTTCAGTACGCTGCAAAGGCGCGCAGATGTGATAGAGAACAACCACGTCACCTGACCTTTCACAAAAGTAACTATCGGGAACGACGTCTTTTGAGTCATTGACAGGCATGACAATTGTCCCATACGTGTCGTCGTAGCGTGAAAAAGCTCTGCTGTAGAGATCCGGGAGACCTGGAGACTGCCTAGTCGTCCGAACATTGAAGCCTACTGGTGGGACACGAGCTGTGATTAACCCAGCGTTGGTAGAGGATGAACTCCATGCTCATATCTTGCAAATCGAAAAATCGAGTACAGGTACCTGCACACGACTGTTTGAAAGATCTTTACAAGTTCACATGTTACCACGCTCCAAGCTGAATCCCTGGCAATATTCGGGTTGATTTTGCACACATTGCCGGGTACAGTTGATAATCCATTCAATTGCGTATTTCGAATCTGATTCAGGCCGTATTAACACCACGGACACAGCATCAAAACCGGAGATTAGGTAGAATAAGATTGTACGTGCGAGCAGCATAAGCATGGCCGCAGCATCGGTCTGTTCGAATGCCCACTTGTCGCGAAAAAGTGGTCTCAAAAAGTTGCCTGGTAACACACCATTTGCTCTCTTAGGTGCTGGGTGCCGCATGACAAATTACTAAGCAGGTTTTTGTGGGAAAAATGGCAATGGTTAATACTGGTAACGTATTCAGGAAATAACAAGAAACAGGACCATCATCCCGTCCCCGCATTGGAAAATTTTGCTCTGCGTTTACGTTGGCCAGTAGCGAAGAAAAAAACGACAGTAGCAGTACTTCAAATCACTTGGCACAAAGTTGCTTGGTGACGACACCATTGCTGCCAATGCTGTATCAGGGGCGCCAGTATCGAATGTGTTTTCCTTGGATTCAGTTGTTAGGGAAGCTCTTTCGAATGAGCTTCATTATACGAAAAATTTGAAAATTTTTTTAAAAAATTGTCTCAAAGTCTGGGCAGGACGAGGATGAGATAAAATTGATTTTTCCGGAAGGATTCCAAAAAATTGCATATAATAGCCCATGCGAAAGAGCCTCTTTTTTGCACAAGATATCCTAATTACCTTGGGCAAATAATTTCTCTCGAAATTTTCCAGGTGTCTAAACTTTTATGATTTTGAGCATTTTCGCCCTAAAATGCGCTGTAATTTCTTCAAAATGCCGATTAAGCAGATTTGGAAAACAGCTTCGGAATCAGCGCAAAATTCTGCACAAGATAGGCTTGGTTATGCTCAAAAACTAGGATGTCCGGCAAAGACGTCACCATGTTAGCACATAACATCAGCAAAGCGGCTTCGCTGAGATCCTCATACTAGCCCAATCAAGGGGGGACAAGGCGGAAATTGGGCAAACCAAGCGGAACAAAGTAGCTCCCTGTACGTATCCTCGCACCAGACCTGAGGGTACAATATCCCACGCATAGAAATACGCAGGGTATGCCCCATTTGACGAGTATGACATGCGATTAGGGCCCGCATTCGACTGCCAGATATTGACGGTCCAATTTGTGCCGCAGCCGTTTCCTTCAGCCCCAACATATCCGAGAAGTGTTGTATATAGCGAGGGTGGCGTCGCGTCAACGACGTCCGACAAGTTTGTGGTGGTTAGGTATAGACCTGAAGGCGCGCTCGTCAAAGCGATAACGATCTAGAACTATACCATCATCCGACATATAGAGCTTCATCAATCCGCTACAGTCGATTGGTCGAATAAGGTAATACCATGAATAGCTGTAAGTTTTGATTTGTATTTTTATGGGCAACACATGCTCTTCCATTAAAAAAACACACAAAAGGATGGAATTTGATTTGTCAAACCCCGATGGTGGCATGGTCACTCCACCTAAACTCATTTTGCCCATATCCTCAGACTTAGGCTTAAGGCTTAGGCTTAGGCTTAGGCTTAGCCTTAGGCTTGGAGGCTAGGCTTAGGCTTAGGCTTAGGCTTAGCATCATCAACTATCTATAGCAGGGAATTAAACAGCCATAAAAACTTCGAAAAATAGTTGCTTTTTCGTCAAAAAGCCACTATAACATGGTCGAAAAAATTAGGCAAAAGGCGTGTAGATAAAGTGACCGAAATTCCATATGAGATATCGGGCTGCCCAAATCCATGCTTTGCCCTTCCCTTTAAATACCTTTAAAGTTTAAATTGACTTTTTAGTAGCAATCGACTCGCTGAATTCACAGCATAGGCTAGACAATTATGCCTACCTATCGCAATAGAACGAATCCGCAGTCACGTTTTCGGAAATATTCGTCGGCATGACAATCCTCCCATACTTGTCGACATAGCGTGGCGAGGCCACAAGGTATAGATCAAGGCTGCCTGCGAAATTTCGACAATTAAAAGTTTCGAAATCTACTCTGTGGACACGAGCTAACATTGAGCCATCGTTGGGTAAGGAAGAATTCCATTGATAGGTCCTGCAGGTCGTAGATTAACGTACAAGCGCCTGAATGTAATTTTCAACGTAAAATATTTGCACGCGCCGGGCTCCAGGCTGAATCCCACGCAGTATCCCGGCTGTTGTTGAACACATTGCCGAGTGCACGCCACGATGGAAGAAATCGAGTATTTGGAGTCAGATTCCGGTCGAATTAGCGAGACCGCCACAGCGTTTAGTCCCACAAATAGTGAAAATGCCAAGGTTTGGGTCAGCATGTTGACAAGTTTGTTGAAATGCCACTATGACCAACCACACCTAGCTGCAGTCGTTACAAAGTTGCTTAGAAACCTACTGGTCTTTTCCCTTGGGCGTCTAGACACTGAAATATTACCCTACGTGGGCGTCACGCCCCGAAATCTTGAAGGTGTAAGCACTCCGTTCGTCAAGAAAATGTATGGGGCCAAAACTTTGGAGTCTTATATCTTGACACATAAGGCCTATCTTAAAAAAACCCGAATTCGAACTTTGGAGAATGGAACACGGCGATTCTAATGATCCTAAGCACTAACAAAACTGAATTTAGAAAGTATGCTAACGCAGGCGTTTTTTAGTTCGTTTGAATCTGGGGGGATTTCCCGCGCTTTTCAGGGTCGTTTGTAGTGGTGTGTAGCGAACCGCCCTGGGAATGAGATAGCCTGATAACTTAAAATGCTTATAAAAATCTGCAGCGTCATTGTTGAGACATGTCCACTATACCAAAAAATTCTCCTTTTTTCCGGCTACAAAATGAACTATGGGTCATGACGTCTACATGCCAAACCGCTGGAAAAAATTACGAAAAAAGACGAGCCACCTTTACTTTTGTCAAAAACTGTAGTAAGAAGGTAAAAGGAAAGGTTAGGTAGTGATCCTCTCCTCAAATTTTATTTTATTTCACTTATCTCTGGCATTTGTCTGTCCGATTACCCAACACTAAATCATTCGAGCCCGATGTTACTTGCCGTCATTGTCCGTAAGTAACTGGTAGCGTCCCGTTGCCATCCCCCCCAAACCGCCGAAAACCCATGGGTTTGATTGGGCGTGGCGTTGTGCTGGTCTGTGTCATGTTTGTTTCTGTGATGCCTTGAGTTAGGAAGTTTTTCTGTTTAAAAATAGAATGATGACTTTAGGCTTTTTGGTTTCGCCTAAGCTATTAATAGCGACAATTGAAGCTAAAGATTTGTTTTAACCCAACAATTTATTTATAGTCCATCTATGGAATATGTACATTGCAGTTATACATTTTCTTCGATAAAGTTAAATCCATACATTTAATAATTTGTCGGATTTCTTTCAAAAAGTAATGCAAAAATTCAGAATGACGAAATTTACAGAAGCTAATTTTCGCGTAAAAACCCGCGAATCCTAAGTCAAAAAATGTCGACATGAGAAATTTCGACAATACGAAGATCGACATTATGAATTTTGGCATTATAATTCTCAATACTATGATAGCAAATCCCATTTGTCAGAGCAGCCCCAAAAGCGATGGGCACTGCACATATTCGCCGTACATGGCACACCGTGGCGCGGTATGTGTCCTCACAAAATACGGGCGGATTCCGATTCCATGCGTAAAAATAGGGAGTGCCAGTTCCGACATTATCATATCTTTGACGATCTGTACCGCTGGGTGAGCGATACACGGCATAGCTGGCGCCGCAATCATTGCCTTCCTTGGCCACATACCCAAGCAGTTCCGAGTAGCCGGCTGGGGGGACGGTATTGGGGGGGGGTTTTTTTTTTTTTTTTTTTTTGAGATTGGGGTTACTGTCATAAGTCTGCCTAAATTTTCCGATTAGTGTTTTGATTTTCAAGGTACTTACAAGAGTCCTTAAAGGGAACAGGAAGTCTCAGTAGAACATGGCACATACGTAGCCAACCCGAAACGCGATTGAAAAATGGGCAGAGTCAGAAAGATTTATGCTAATTTTAGAACCACAGCCCGTTTTATGCTAGTTTTTCCTGGGCCTCCCCTGATCCCTTTAAGAGATATAAAAATTGAAATATTTAAAGATAAAACATTAAATTTTTTCGGGTATGACGAAACGCCCTTACCATCGTTCGATACGTAAAGGTTTAGCAAGCCGTTGCATTTTATTTTTCTTACAACGAGGTACCAAGTCCAGCTAGAAAATTAGGGAATGAGAGAATATACTTCCAAAGGAAACTACCTTTTACACCAATATTCGTCCGGTTGTACGCTAACGGAATTTTTATTTGGTTTCACAATCGTGCCCTGCGCGTCCTGGTACCGTATGACGGGTCGCGAATACAAGGCCAGAGCGCCTAAAAATTATTGAAAAATTTCTAAATTACTATAACTTCTAAATTTAAATTATTTTATGTTTAACCTAATTTTTAAATTTCGGGTTAAATCAATTTCAAAGTTTCAACATTAATCTGAATTACTTTTTGGGCATTTGCTGTCCTTTGCTAGCCAACGCTGAAAGATCATGAATTCCATCGCTTTATCGAGGATATCGGAGATTAATGTGCAACTGCCTAAAATGGTAATTTTAGACGTATTAGTACCGGGAAATACCTGGCTCCAAGCTGAATCCCTCGCAATACTTGGCCTTGCTTTCGATACATTTCCGGGCGCAGGCTTTAATAGGCGGTAACTGGTATTTTCCATTTGAGGCCGGTCTGATCAGGGCCACAGATACGGTATAGGAGTACGGAACAGATAACAGAAATATGTATACGTTGGCCATGTGCATTTTTTAGGGAAATTTCTAGGTGTCTGGTGCCAAACAAAAATCCGGGGTGAATGTTGGTCGTTTCAGGGAATTTATTTTGACTTTTTGCTGCAAGAAAGGCATCAATTTTCGAGGGCATGGGTTTGGTGCGATGTAGTCGCGCCAAAATGTTCAGAGTTTGCCAAAAATCCATAGTTGCTAGGTGACTTTACGCGTTACTTTGCAGAGCATTGGACCTGAAGGGGAAGATGCCAAAGTGTCAAGAATCGAATTCAGATCTAAATGGCGTCAATAGGCAACAATGTTTTATCGTTAAGTTTCAGTATGCAGGCTCTGGAGGTCCAGGGATTGGGGGTAGCGGGACGGGTACAGCGGCTTGTTCGGCTCCCTGAATGACGGTTTGGTTGATGTTGACCACGATTTGCAAGTCATCCCAGGGGTTCTTCTTGCCGCCATTTCCGTTGTTGCCATTATTTCCATTTCCGCCCTTTCCGTTGCCTCCATTATTGCCATTTCCACGATTGTGATGTCCACCGTCACCGTGGGTATCAGGCCATTCCGCGGAACTAAAGAATAGAATTCACAAGTCATATGAAATTTAGGAAAATACACATTTTTCGGCCATGGAGAGCAAATTGAGAATGTCCAACCTGCTGCCAGACCAGTCATGCGAATGTGAATGTTCGTGCGGATCCGGCTTCGGATCCGGATGCGTCTCCCAATATGAATAAGGTGGGCAGACATCGCTCGAATCTTTCATCTAAAAACGATCGTCTGGACCTGCAAGATCTAAGAAATCATCGCTTGACTTTCACCCACCATCCTTCCAACCAACGCATCTCCAGTGAGCGTAACGTTTGTAATCTGGCCGATACACTAAAACATAGAAATTTTGGCGAATAAGGTCAGGAATTACATCAAAACTTTTTGCTACGTCCATCCCGACGACAACTCCCTTCTGCGTCCAGGTGGCGCCGGCAAACGTGGATCCCTTACCGTAGTCGACGCGGATTGTACGTGGCCCAACGATGCTGAAAACTGTCTATATTTTCTGGGCGACAAAAGCTTTTCTGGGCTAGGCCAGCGTCAGAAAATCCAGAAAAGTTGAAGCTCACGTCATCGTTATTTCGAATGGACCTCCGCCCGGGAATGGCATAAAGTTATATCGATGCTCACCGCCAAACGCCTAAAGTCGTAATTGATCATTAAAACATTTTACGTGCAACGCATATTCTTGGGCAGTTTTCAGGCCTTTTATGCCACCTACCCCCATTTTAGTCCGTTGAACGTAGACGATGTACGGTTTCTGCTTCAGGTCATACCAATTCCGCTGCGCCGCCCGGGCAAAGATGTTGTTGTGGAGGGATTGTTCCAAGCTGCACACCCACCTGAAAATTGACACAGTTATTCACTGATGGATCCGGTTTTTCATTAAAATATAAAATCTCACGTAAGAACTCCAGGTTCAAGATGACCACGAGCCCTGAAGCTGTCACCAATTCTCAGCGGCCGTTTTAGACATCTTCCCCAATCTGAAAATTTGTGTTTTTAATGAAAAAGGATATTCAGAACATGGCGAAGGGCTAAGGCAGAGTTTTTCAAAAACGCTTCATATAAAAATAGCCAAATAATAAAATCTAACAAGGGAAAAGCCGATTTCAAGCTACTTACAAGCCCCATTATCGTATGCAGCTACGAATAGAGGTAGTATTAACAGAATCAAGCTACGCATTGCCCTACATGAAAGTTCTTAGCGCGTTTTTAGGCTTTTTATACATAAAAAGACGATAAAAGCCGTGCAAGAGTGTGCCAAGCCATTTCAGCAGCCCCATAAATAACAATGACTTCGGGCTGCGTGAAAAATCTTTGATGTCGGCATCATAAAATGGAATACATGTAGTACGAATAGAAAGGGTTGGAATGAGAACTTTGAGCTTGAGGTCAATCGATGATAGACCTGGTCAGCCCAAAAGAATCGAAATAATGATGATCACCACCCGTTCCTGGGGCGTGTGCCCGAACGTTCCGAAAATAAACTCAACACAGTTCTCCGCTCTCCACGCCCAGGTCAAAAGTCCCATCCAAGCAAATAAGCAAACCAAAAAACACCCAAAGTGAGGGTGGGGGAACTTTTGATGAGGGGCAAACCGCCGCGTGGTGGCCGTGGGAAAAGAATTTGGCAAATATTTGCGGTGACTGTTCGGAAATCCCCGCGCCTAGAAGTTGTTCGGATGACCAGCCCCATGGGACCCAATTCGGCCTAGAGAAATTGGACCCGATTTTCCTTGCACTATTGAAAGGGAAAGGTTCCGGGCAAGGTTAAGACAAAGTTAAGCGGATTCGAAAAAAATGGCCTTTGGTCCACTTGAGAAGTTAAACAGTTGGGGAGTAATAAGAAAATGCAAGAAAATGAATTGCCATGACGCAGTCTAAGGTAAATTTGTGCAAGTACGTGACTACGGGCTACTGAAGTAATTTTCTGTTAAAGTTTGGCAAGGTATCGAGACCATTCATCCGGTGCTAGTGTTAGCTGTGGAAACGACCGCTGAAGACGTCTGAAGTTTAGCCAACCATGAATGGAATGAAAATCGCCGCTTTTTTGAGCTCGAGTTTTTCAGCTAGCGTGACCGCGAAATATTTTTATGACCTGCCAGATGTGCTTCGAAAGTACTTGCGGGCCCATTCGCCCTGCAGTTTCACTTTTCTGCAACTTTTTCCGTTCAAAAACGGCATTAGCGCGTCGCAAGCGGTCTGCGTGGTGTTCATCGAGGGATATAAGCTAAGAAGAACACCGGTTGGTGGGATGCTTCAAGCCCGAGTTTAAAGGAACACGGTTTATGGCGCCCGCCACACGCAACGCACGTGCCAATCCGCCACCACGACAGGATAACAATCACTTAATGCATGGGGCTTGTGCGTTGCGTGTCGCGGGCTTTGCCGCTCCCTCTTTCTCTCTCTCTCTCTCTCCCCTCTCCCTCTCCCTCTCTCTCTTTCTCTCTCCCTCTCAGGATTTGGTGAGGCTTACAGTCTATATCCAGGTTCTACTACTGACAGGGCGTGGCACCCACCGTCAACTCCCCTTCTCACCCCGTCCAAGATCTATGAAAAATGATGACCTATACCTAGTACTCACTCCAAAAATAGCCCCCCCCCCAGGCCAGAAGGTACTCATCGCACTCCGCCCAATAAAAAACACTCTCACACACACGGAAAAACATGAGAAATGGCGAGGGTGGATGTCAAAAAGCGGGAAACACCGTCAGAAAGAGGGGAGTCCCCGGGGGCGCACAACTCGTGCAAATATTTGCTGATTGACCCGTTCGAGAAGAGATAGAAGAAGGGGGCCAGCTTTCAAAGAATAGTCACATTTTGGTGGCTCCTCCCCTCAAGGAGTGAATTTAGGGGGACCCCCTTCTAGATAAACACGGCAAATCTTTGTACTGTGGCCAGGGCCGGGTTCCCACGACCGCTAAGCACTTACGGTACCGGTCCTTTCGCGAACGGTATTATATTAAAGCCGCGCCCTGGGGCGTGCGTTCAAGGTATTACTGCGCTTACACTTATTGACACCTGCGTTTTTCTCTCCGTTATTCCCTCCTTTATTTTTTTTCCCTAATTCAAAATATCTTATCTTAAGATACCTTAGAATCGTCTAGAGGCAGCCTAATGTTTTTTCTTCACTTATAAGTCCTTTCTTTAATTATTTTCAAGGCCATTAAAACTTCCGGAGAATATGTTTTGTCCTGAAACTGCTCTCTGCCCCTGTACAAAGCCTTCCTTCGCCCAAGCTAAAGCGGGATAATCCACCACTTAGCCCCCGTTTCATTCAACCCAATGGATTTAACCGGGCCGCCGCGCATCCCTAAGCTTTTTTTTCATCTTCCGTGGCTGGCAGTTGAAAAAAGAATGGTAACCTTGGAAGTTTTAGTTATGCACTCGGAGCTGTGTGGCGCAAGTGGGCGCCCGAAAGAGTGCAAGGTGTGCGGTGCGGCGCCGGCTGGGCAGTTTTACGGCGCGCGGGCATGCAGGTTGGTCAGGTTTTTGATAGCCTTTCCTAGGCCCGGCGATTACATTAATTTTTGCTATAACTTGATATAGGAGCATGCGAATAGTGTACACTACAATATTATGGCCATAAGAGGTTCGGACCGTTGATAAGGCTTTTTCAGCTCGTGCAAAGTCTTTTTCCTGCGAGCGGCGACGTCGAAGCGTCCGCTTGTCTGCCGATCTGGATCACGATGTGTATACCGTATGCCTCAATCCAATGGCGCAAATATAGATGTTTTAGCGGCCGAGACATGCCGGGCTTGCCGGTACAAGAAGTGTTTGGATGCGGGGATGGTGCCGGAAAGTGGGTTTTTTGATAGTTATCTAAGGTATCGGATTGAAAGCAGTTTCGACAAACTTGCATATAACCAGCAGCTAACCACATATGATGTCATAATATTAAAATGATCATTACAATTTTCAGTCACCGGACGTCGCCTCGATTGTCGGCGCAGGACCGAGCCGAATTCGCCCGGTTTGCCAAATTTGATAGAGGTACGGATTCTTGAGGTACAAAGAGAACCATAGCACAGTGACGGTCCAGTATTTGAAACGTGAAAATCTATCAAAACACCGCCTTCAGGAGCACAAGCGGATGTGCGGCAGCTTCCCCTCGACGTTTATGCGCCCATCTCGAGCCGTCGATGTCGACTCGGAAATTGAACGGTTGACAAGGATCGATCGGTAAGTGTTCATTGGGGACCTGAAATAAGCTTGTTTAGCTTTTGCACGGCTGATTCTCCATCAACGCCGCTACAGCTTGATTTTCCGTTCGATTTGGATGTGACGATAGCCGATCTTTTAAGGAACCCTCAACTGCTTTGCCCTCGAGTCCCGGTAAGTATGGAAAGCATTAATTCTTACTAACCACAAAATCCAGATCAACGATCGGGCCATTGATTGAGCGATCTTTTGATTGGCCAGGTAATTGACTAGATTTAGTTTTTGGTACTGGACTGCTAGCGGGGGGGGATGAAATCCACTTTCGTCTTAATTTCTTACGGTCCTAAGCTCAACAATAAACCAGATTTATAGCATTTTGCATCGTGTTTAGACACAAAAAGTGCATGAAAAACTTCGCGCATTTTGACGTTTTTACTTTTGTTCGAAATTTATGCACAAGTACCTATTAATCCTCAAATTTAGAATATTTAGAATTCAAAAAAATATTTTTGATAACTTTTTAGCCTTTGGGAACTACCAAACCAGTTATAGGAATAAATTATATATTATCAAGACCATAGGGGGAGCGAAAAGAATTACTTCTCTCACCCCCCCCCCGCCCGCTAATAGTCCAGTACCGGTTCTTGTGGCGTCGTTTTTGCAATAGCTATGATATTCCTGAATTTGTCTTCATCTCAACTTCAGCTCGGTCTCACCGCGGAATCCGATTTCGACCCCTTCGACACCGAAATTTCCAGCCGATGTTGGGCCCGTCGCGTGCTCTACTGCATCGATTTCTTCCGCGAACTCTCCGAGGTCTGGGAAATGGACTCGAATGATCGGGTGAGGAGCTGTGGCGCCTTTAATATAATAAAATTTAGAACAAATTCTGCCTACACGTCTGCTCCCTTTGGGCACGCATGGAGACGGTCTATCACACCTTCAAATCCGGCTCCTCCAACCAGTTGGTGGGCCTCGGAAAGCACTGGGACCCTACGAAATTACCACGCCAAGGGTAGGCACAAAACCTTTGCTTTGAATCGTCGCAGCTCTTCTAGCCTCCTGAAATACCTGCAAGAGAGCCATCGCGAGCTGGTGGATAAGGTTTTGCCGTTGTTGCGCCGGGCCAAGCTGACCTACGAGGAATTTTTGATCTGGAAGATGATGATAGTTTTCAGTCCTGGGCGTGAGTTATCCGGAATATCTTTAAAGATCAGCGTTTTAGCCATTGGACTGACGGAGCGCGGGTTTCAAATTGTTAGAGATGCTAGGAAGCGGTATGAGTCGATGTTTTTGCAGGTAGGTGCACAGTTTTGGCGTCATAGGCTTCAGATTTGCTTAGGCTTAGGCTTAAGGTTAGGCTTGGGCTTTGGCTGGGTCTTAGGCTTAGGCTTTTAGGTTATAGGTTTTCACAATTGCAATATCGGCATTAAATTGAATAACATTCTTAATTTAGTTACTACGCACGAAAGACACTGAATCGATGGCCATCGTCAAGATGACCACGCTTTCCACGGTGCACCGCTGGCTAGAGGTAATTTTTGAAGCTAAACACAGACCCACCTACAGTATTCTATCGATTTTCCGCCGAGACCCCACCCTAGGCACCGACAATCCGTGCCTCCCGTCTTCCCCCTGACTAACGGCGGCCCCGGGTGGAAGTGTACAAAATGCGCGCTGATCATACGAACAGAGCGGTGGCGAGTGCACCTTGTCCGCAAATATTTGGGGAAGCAGACAGAGTGCGCCAGGGCTCCGTTCCCATTTGGCAGAGAAATCATCAAGTTGCTCGCTCAGCGTGCTTCAGGAGGATGGAAGAAAATTTTCCGCCCCGGGGAAGATGATTAGATGACCCGGCAAGTAACCTGCTTAGGCATGGGCTTGGGCTTAGGATTGGGCTTAGGCTTAGGCTGGGAAACCCAGCTTATGCAGCGTAACTCATCGATATTTCCGATCATCCCACTCGCTAGAAGTGCTACCCGGAATTCCATCGATAAGAAATAGGAAAGTGAGAAGAGAAAAAAAAGAAAAAAAGAAAAAAGGTGGAAGGGATTCCTTCCTTATTTAGGTCCAAGCAAATCGCGGTGCTCGCTACGGGATCGAGGCCATTGTCCATGGCGGCGGCGAGATTGGAATTCGCGGTAGTTTCGTCGCTGATGTCTCGCTGGCCAGACTTTAATAAATTTTAAAATACCACCGAACCTTACCTGAAAAAAGAAGCTGTAGCACTAAACAGACTAGTTAACTCAAAAACGCAAACAAATGAGTCAAACATCGCTTTCTTGACTTACAAAAATTCCCGCTCACTGTAACCGTTTTTTGTTGACCGTGGGATTTCGATACGTGAGATCACACATTTTGGTGCAAATTTTCGCTGATTCCGAATCCGTTTTCAAAAGTTGCGGAACCCCTCTAGATAAAAAGTTACAGCCGGTTTTCTACCCCAAATGACCGAAAATTACAAACTTTAAATCCTTATAAAAAACTCGTGGAACATTTTGTGGATCTAGCCTCTAGTGGTAAAAACGTGCTCTTTCGAATGGGCTACCTCACGAACCCGTAACTCAAAATTCACAAAATTTCAAAAACTGGCCATTCAGGGCATTGGTTCACCGAAAAACTTTTTTTCCTGAATTTTGAGTTACGGGTTCGTGGGGTAGCCATTCGAAACATCTTTACCCCGGGATGCTGTATTCTATCCCACAAATGTTCCACAGCCTATAAAGGCAAAGTTTGGTACCTCGGTCATTGGGGTAAACTCGCTCATCTTTGAGTTCCACTAACTTTGAAAACAGACCGAATGAAATTCTACTTTCATATCTGCCCATCCAATCCACAGTCAACAAACAACAATTACAGTCAGGAATGACTGAAAATATTAAACAATCCGCCACAGTTTGTCTGAAAAAAGTTTGTTTCCTTCCTTGAACATCAAACATCAAACAGCAGGAAAACAACAAAAAATATTGCTTTACATCCAGAGTCTGAAAAACGACAGTGGGAACTAAAATTCTTTTTTTTGTGTGCTTAGAATTCTCATGTGGTATGTTCCAGATTCTTTTCCGCGCCGGGTGTTATCGCTCTGGGGAGCTGTAGGATCTCATTATTGAACTTTTCTTATGATATTGAAATATAAGTCAATATATATAAATGGATGGCCGTAACCAACTTAAACCGATAAAGCTCTTGAGAAACGTGTTAGGTGTATCGCCGGATAGAAAGAACTCTATGTGAAATATTTACATACCATCCGGATCTGAATCATCGTATGTATTCCCCCTAAAGACATCTCGGTCTAGGCAACTACCTTACGAAAACTAAAAAATATTAAATACAAACTACAGCATAGAAAATTAAGAGTCACACTATAACAAAATTCACATCCAGTTATCAGCATTTTCGCGTAAAAAAGCGCAAAAAAGCACAATTAACATAAGACCTACAAAGGTTGGGGTCACAAATTGGCGTGCTAATCAGGAGTAGTGGTTGGCTGGTTCTTTTACAAGCCTTTGAGGTGTAGTTTTTGGTTTCTAGCACCACACTTTGTGTTGGTCTCACTCCCTACAAGGGAGACGTTTTTGAGTGTCGTCGGGACTTTGGCATAGGACCAAGCCTATCTTGTGCAGAATTTTACGCTGATTCCGAATATGGCAACCTTTTTTGTGGAACGCCATTTCTCGAAAGTTATGAACGATTTAAACCTCCAAAACAGCCCAAAGTTGGCCACTTTGGATAGTCATAAATGGCTTCGGAATACGTTTTAAACAAAACCAGATAGTGCATCTTGTTCAGAAAAAATTTTCTATAAAATAAGCTGCTTATCTCAAATGTTGGAATTTTGGGTAGAATTTTTTGTAAAATTATAGGCCTTAGGGCTATAATTATTTAAAATTAAATCCCAATTTAAAATCAACAAGACAGCGGATGTTGTTCTGACGCCTTTTCTATAATTACGCGGCTTATTTATATTTTTATTGAAGCCACTGATTTACAGAAATATAATTTTTGAGGCGATGTCCAGCATCATCGACATCAGCATCTTGACGATAAGCCTAACTTCGCTGACTTCCGGCACATTATTGTTATATTTAATTTGCCGGCACTCCCGTCAGAATTTGGTTGGTATATACTCGTTGAATCCTTTTTTTGCTAAATTTTCTAAAAGAAGTTTCAATTTATAACAAACTCACTGAAAAAAACCTCAAAAATTCTAAAATCTAGTGTTCAAAAACTCGTAATTTAGGCCCATATCGCTATCTAATGCTCCTTTTCACTATCTGCGGCCTGAATTTCACATTCATCAACATGCTTCTCGTCCCGGTGAGTTTTACAATCGATGGTTCTTAGATTATCGCGGAAGTTTGTGATGTGACATGGCTCATTCGATAGAACTTGAAACTCTGAATAAATTCGATGTTTCAAAAATCGCTGAACGCCTAGGGTTTTCCAACAAAAAAAATCGAAGCGCCGAATTCAGAATTTGAAGATCGTTGTCGTTCCGCAATTTTTGAAAGGAGGTACTTGGTCAGGATTGAGCTCTAGCGAATGGGCTACTTCACTAGCATAATCCCAAAATCACCTACAAACCGCTCCTTGTTAGCCGAGATCCACGCGGAACTAAAAAAACACTTTTCAGATGGTTACGCTATACAGGCATGCCTTCGTCTTCTACCCGGTCGGTGAGCTGCGGTTCCACCCCGACCTGGCGCACTGGGGCTACGCGATATGGCATGCAAACTATGGGGTCTGGATTCGTAGAAGGAAGTTGTTACAAGTCGATTTTTAGACAATTAGTATGGCGTTGGTCTTGCAATTTGTGTATCGCTATGCAACGCTTGCAAAAAACGAACTTTTGGTATATTTTACGGGCCGTCAAGTGGTGGTCACAGCTTGGTAAGCTTGGTTATTTGGTCATTCCTTATATTTTAGCATCGTCCTAGCTAATGCTCTGGTCTGGTTTATGGCATTTTGGCTCTCGGCTTATCATTTTAATAATCAAAAGTATAATCTTACTAAGTCGCGAAATCAATGATTTTTTCAAGGGAATACCTTCGAGAGCATTTAATGGAAGTGTCCGGGATTTCGGTGGATAATCTAGCGATGCAGGGAAATTTTTACATAGTAAGTCTATGCAAAGAGCTCATAAAAATGACGTCACATCCACATACACCAAAAAATTAAAACTAATAGTCTAAAAATTACACTAAAAACTTTAGAGCATCACTGATGATGGCCAGGAAAAGTATCACCTGCCCTCGGTCTTAATAGGTTTGACTTGTATCGGGCTTTTATGCACCTATATCTTCATCATGGCCTACTGTACCTTTGGGTAAATCGAGGAGCGTAACCTTAAAAGTTTACAGAATTCGGCAAAGCCTAGAAGCGTCCATTGCCTCAAATATCAGCACCAAAACGCGCCGCATGCAACGCGACCTTTTCCGAGCCCTGCTTGTCCAGGTCCGAAGCTTCGCCTTAAAAATTCTATTTTGAGTTTAGTCAGCTTTTTCCCATCGTCTTGGAAGCCTTTCCGTGCATTGCCATTAACATCTTTGCCTTCCTCGCCGTTCCCATATCCCCGGCAGCGATGGAGCTATGTACGCGGATTAAAAATAACTACTTACACTCCTTAGGCGTCATTTTGAATGCGTCGTACCCAGCGGTAGACCCCTTGGCCGCGATATACTTTATTAAAGACTATCGCTGCGCCGTTCTTCAAATTTTTAGGCGTGTTTTTCGATGGTAAGTTAAGTGTCGAAATTGCTAGGTACTCGTTGAGCTTTAGCTGCAGTTTTGGGCTTTGCGATGCCCGAATCAAGGATATCAGCAAGACGTTGTCGGCCGTACCAAAAGGTAGGTAAATATTTAAAAAGCTTAGGTATGGAAAGTCGAAAAATGGTAAGTCGGCTTTAATAGATACCTTTAGCTACCACCTACGAACATCACGCCAAGAAGAGCCCGAAAAGTTTTGGTAAATGATCGAATGACATTAAAATTAGCAATAAAGTACCAACACCATAAAAATATAACAATAAAGATGCAAATGAAGAGCAATAACAATAAAAATATAGATACGTTCCAAAAGCTTTTGGCCTCATAAATGACACTAATTGTTATCCGAAGGTCTATGATGCCGTCTAGATTGCATAAGAAATTATTGGTCGTGTCTGGCGTCGTTTTTGGCGGGATTGCTTACCGGAAACGGGAGGTTTTCCACGTGCAGGCAGTGCTAGGAACGTGTGGATACTAACTACAACTTTAAGTGATTTCTTGGTTAGCTGAACGTCAGCTTCGGACGGTACCTTGTATAGGATAACGATACTACTGTTAACATAAGACGACAATGAACCTTCTTGCCTTATTGATGGAAATCAACCAGTATGTCGCACTTGTCGTCAACGCCGTTTTGACGTTCTTAATTTTACGATTTTCCCGCGTCGAATTAGGTACTTAGAAACGAAAATAAATTTAGTATAAGGTCGTATTTAGGTCCTTTTCGTCATTTATTATTGCTTTTACGATCTGCAGCCTAACGTTTACGGCCTTTAGCACAACATTGTCGATGGTAAGGGAAAGAACCCTGGTCTTGCCTTGCAAATTTTTTTTCAATCGATTTAAATTTTTTTAGAATTTTATCGTCCATAAAAGATCGCTTTTATTTTTCCCGGGAAGCGCGTTTTGGCAGGCCCAACCGACGTTGGTCCATTGGCTATATTCGTTCTGGCACTCACTACTTGGGGTAAATTGACATACTCTTGCTTCGCTACGTATCAAGTAGTGATGGTATTATTCAAATCTCAAATCTAATTTGCATGCGCCAAATCAAATCTGCCGCTTTGATTTGAATAAGGTTTCAGCACTTTAAATCAAATCGACTTGATTTGGACTTTCGAGGTTTGAGTTCAAATCTGAAGATTTGAACGAGGATTTGAAAGGAGTCGAAAAAATCAATAGCTCATTATGCGGATGCTAATTTTATGATGGCATGCATAATCAAGGTCATTTCCGGTTCGCGCCAGCTCGGCCATAGCGATTTTGTTATGTTTTGCATGCCGGCATCTCCATAAGATTTGATTAAGGACCGGAAGCTTAATCAAATCCTCGAGATTTGATTTGAACTCGTCCACGGGATTTCAAATCAAATCCGCCGATTTGAAATTGAAATTTTTGCCTTCAAAC